TCACCGGCACTCGGGAGAAAACGGGCGGGACTGTTTGGATTGTCGGCACAAGGCCGCTGCAGAATATGAAACCCGAGTTGTTCTGTTGGGGTGTGAGCGCGGGCGGTGTAAACACCACAGCTCAGGGCTGAGGAGTCAAAGACCACAACAGCACAAACGCTCTCCGGCGTTTCTGACAGGACGACGGCTCCTCTAGCACCGCGGAGGCCGAGAGCTTTGAGGCGACTCTCCGTGATCCGCCGTTTCTGTCAAGCTGTATTCCTCCACGCGTCGGACGCTGCAAGCGTGACCGCGACCTTGAGCCTCCTGGTTCATTCCTCGGCATTTCAAAAGCCAGAGGATGATTGTGGAAAATGTGAACCATTTACCAGCGGCTAAATCGGCTGCAGCAAGTTTCATTTCTTCCACATTGTGGCAGCAAATGAAAGAAGCTTTTTTAATAATTGCCCTCACTTAAAGAGCTGAAAGAGGCATTTCATAATGTGGAATCAACAAGTTGAGAAGAAAGTAGAAACATTTTACCAATTATTCCCCGATCTGACAAAATTCAAGAACAGACAAACACTGTTCACATCTTTTGGTCTAAAAGCGCGACAGGGACATTTCGAATACTTTGACACACCATTGAACCACAGAGAGTCAATGTGAAGAGAGGCCAGTCTTAACAACATTTACTTTATTGGCTGTTTTTTTCCCCCACTTTTGAATAAAATAAAATTTCTCCATCAGGCATTTTTGCATCTATAAAGCCATGAGCGATGACTCCAGACTTCTGCTCTAAACCTGTTCATTATTTTTTATTAAATCATTGTAGACTTAAAGATGGACGAGTTTGTACTTTTGTTAACTTGCTGAGTTTAAACTGCAGAAGGTGGAAAAGTCCTGGACAGGAGAACTGAAGTGACGAAAGCAGAGCCTGAACCTGCGGCTCAATCTGAGCTGCATTAACATGTCGACATTTGGCAACCCAAAACTAACTCGAGACATTCCTGGCTTTTGGATGTCAAGTTGGTGAAATGATCTAATCCCACAAACACCTGCACGCTCCCTTTGTTTAAAGAAAACGAGGCCTCAGTTATCGCTGGACGCAGCGACTTGTTAACATGACTGCGCTCCACAGTTTGGGCCCTTGGCAGTCGCAGCAGGATTAATGGGAGCTTGGCCCTCTGAGCATTTGTTCACGTGGTGTTTTTATGGGGGGAAACATCTCCTTCGTTTCTCCACAGGCGAGCAGACCGCAGACTTCCTGGAAGGAGAAGATTCAGAGCAGAGGGAGAAGAGAAACGAGCTGCAGTCAGGCAGGCAGGCAGGACGGGTCAGGAGGGAAACAGGTCCACGACTTAACCCGCTTAGAGGAAAACGAGCATCAGGGAATGTTTCAAGTTGACCCTTCAGCTGAAAAGTGCTTGCGCAACAATCTTTGTTTCGGCTCCTCGTGTTACGCCATTTATCCCGAAATCAGATTATCTCTCAGTCGTGTTTGAAACGTAGTTAAGGCAACATGTTTGCAGGATGACTTCCAGGTGGGAATGCGGCGTCTGAACCGAAGCCGTCGACGCTCCTGGGAACAAAAAGCAAGTCTCAGGGCGGACCGGCCAATAAATTAAGATGGCGGCACGACGAACCAGCACTTTGTGTTTGAGGTGAAGTTTTATTGTGGCATTTGTTGTGAGGAACATTAGCTAGCAGCAGACTAAACAGATTTGTTGGCAGACTCAGTAGTTTGTGGTGGGCTTTGTTTAAACAGCTGCAGAAATAAACACCATGTGATTATTAAAGCAGGAAGGAGGCTGTGCCACGTTTCAATGGGCACCGCGTCGGTTTTCATCCATGCGGACCCTGAGGCGGGACGAACACGCCGCTAGGTTAGGTCATTAGGGTCACGAGGCACATGTGGTTAATCTGCAGAGACGGTAAAAAAAAAAAAACAACCCAAAAAACCCAGAAGCAATTAGTTATCGGGCAATTAATCAAAGGATGGATTATTGATCTTAATAACCTTGTAAAAAAATACATTAGTGGAGTAATAAGAGGAGTGGAGTCTACTTTATGTTAGCCAGCTCACAGATGAACCACATCAACTCCTGTAAAAAACATTTCAAATTGTCCATAATTCCATACATCTCAACTATGCAAGCTCATTTTTGCCATAAAAAAAAGTCCAACAAAGAAGTCATCATTTTGATGTCAGAATTATGAGATATGAAGACATTAATTTTAAGACTCAGTCATAATTTTGACTTTCAAAGTCATAAATATGACCTATAAAGTCATGAATATGAGATATGGGCTTCCACAGGAGTATATGCCTCTTTAGAGAAATACTGACTTTTTAATTTCTAAATGACTTTGAAAGTAAAATTTATTACTTCTTGAGATTTTATCTCATTTTCATGGCAGAAATTAACTTTCATACTCTATAGTGTGTTGTTTTTTTTCTTTGCCATTCAACATCTGTTGCAGATGGCAACATAAAAATGAATTCCAAAAAGGTGAAAAATAAAGAGAGGGATGGATGGAGTTTTGATTTCCAAGTTGTTTTCACAGCATCAAGAGGGAGTGGAAGCAGTTCTCCCCCTGCTGGACAAATTTCAGAATGCAGTTTATTGAAGAGGCGAACCAAAAAGAACCTGAACAAATAAAAACAAAAATCACTTTTTTGATCAGCAAAACGCATCCCTGCATTCCTGCCCACTCAAACCAAAAACAGACCCAACAATCGGAGGTGAATCATTCGTTTCTGTGTATTTAAGACCTTGCAGGTATCATTACAGGTGTATTACACAGTACATGTATACAGGCGAACAGACGGCACATATAAAAACAGGCTATGGTTATCAAAGGATACAAACAGCATATATAAAAGCTTATTTAAATCATTCAAGTACCTCTAACTCCATACTTCAGTCTTGAGAATTTGAAATCATCTGTACAAAATGTACAAAAACTGTATCCCATGTTGCTTTGGACAGATTTGTCCTCTGATCAGAAAAATCTACACAAAATATCAAAAAGATCAACAAAAAAAGAGAGAGAGAGAAACAAGAACTTACAAGATAACAGGAATGAGCACAAAATGCTGAAATGACCATTTAAACATTAAAACTGAATTTCTACATTTGGGAATTTATTCAGAGGTGTAGGCTAATTCCTAAACAAGATCCTAGATAGAAACTTTGAATTGAATTTTATGCAACAAAAACACTTTAAACTTCTTTTCCTCTACTGAAACAGAAATGCAGTCATTAAAAATGAAAATTCATTCATGATCTGTTCCCTCTGCATCGGCTCCGACTCGTCTGAATAATTACAAACAATGCACTGCTGCAGTCTGCGAATTCATCAAAATGGACATTTTCACTCTGATTTTTGGCCTGATCTCTGTTTTCTTCTGCAAGATGAGCAGCAGAAGAGCAAGAAGACGAACAACAACTCTTTAGCTAAATGTTGTGGCGTAGAAAACCTAACACTGAATGAAGTGAGATGAGACAGGCGTCCCGTCCTGGACAGACAACACCAAGGGAACAGCCGCACTGCAAAGAAAGGATTTTCCCCTTTCATATTTTCTGGTTTTCTTGTTTTGTTCGTCACACTTAAATGTTTCAGATCATTACGTGAACGTGGATTCGAGACAAAGACAAGCCGAGTAAAGCTGGCCACACGTGAAGTCACAAATGGTCCCCATGTTGGACACGAGGACCTGTCTGACAACACGAAGCAGGTTAAAAGAACAACTCATCATGCCCTGATCAAAATGCATTTAAAACAAAAGCAGTCATGATGTCAGTCAATCTAGAAAGGGTTACAAAGTCATTTTAAGGTTTTGTTTTTTATAATTCTATTTATTTTGTATTGTTTTTATTCTAGTGAATTCCAGTGAAGTCATTATTCAAAACAGGAGAAAACATGGAGCAGAGACGCCACTCAGAGCAGCGAGAGCAGGCCTCCACTGCCTTGGTTAGGGTCAAAGTTCACTATTCAACAGGAAGAAAGAGACTGGGGGACAAAGAACTCAAAGTCTCATATCAGCACAAAAACAGCTTAAGGATCCCAAAACATCTGGGAAAATATTCCATTTTCTACCAGGTATTGGCTGTAGGGAGGATATGTTGATTTCATTAGATTTATTCTCTATATAAACCATATTCTCTATTTACTCACTTGATTATTAAATTTGATGATTTGAATCTTTTAAGTGCGACACATTTTCAGTGCTGAAAGTAGCTTTGTCTTTTTTTAATGGTGTGTTACTGATGTGGAAGACACTCAGTTAACAGATGTTTTAGCATCGACTGCAAACCAAAAATTCCTCCTCAAAACTTGTCAATTAACGTCCGGCTGATGTTTCCTTGCTGAGCCACAACATTTAGTTCAAGAGTCTAAGATAAAGTTTTTCCCCCCAAAATCATCCAATGATACAATCTGAAGGCACCAAAACATGAAAACTACAAACATTTACAAATCTACTTAAATCAAAGTTTTAAAAATCACAAAAATGAAATATTAACAGGTTTGCTTCCTGTTAAGCAAACCTGTTAATGAAGAGACTTGTGCAAATAAAGTAAAAGCATGTACAGGCCAAACCTTTCATGAGAAACATGCTGATATGCATCAACAATAAAGGCTTTTTTTCATAACTTCTCTACATATGTTTTGCATATCCGGATGGGAGAAGTGAAACTTGGTCAAAGAACGATGACTGCTCTACATTCAGAGTTCAGTTTTCATCCTTTCAAACAGCTTTAACACTGTACCATTCCCCGACAGCAAAAGGTCAAACTGAAAAGCAAACAAATACATGATTTTTATTTATTTTTTTCCCTATTCAGTTGACCAAAGTGCTTCCAGACTCTTACAAAAACTACAAGTGACATGAGATTCTTTCCGAGTGATCCTGCAAGGAAAGCCGACTTCACTCCAGGCCTCTAGCTTTTCTTGGGTTCTTTTTGAAGTGGAGAAGGTCTGACCTGGGCGGCGCCGGCGCCGCAGCATCAGGGTCTCTGACTCTGAGGGTCGTACTGCTGGTAGCGGTTCAGCTTTTCTGGGTCGTTGGAGGCCATGTGGGTGAAGTCCTGGAAGATGTCCTGGTAGGTTTCGTCCCCTGAAGAGAAGAGAAAAACAAGTGGGACAAACGTAAACAAACACTGTAGGAAATCACATTTACAACATCCAGGGTTTAGACATGGCTCTTCAGACTCAGACTTGCAAAGCGTTGATTCGTTTTTTGTTTTGTCCAGTTTTAAAGTAAAAAAACAACATGAATTTGTAACAAATATTCCAATGGAAGGAGAAATAGATGAATGACGGACAAATGTATCGATGGGTTAGGATGCATCTACTGATAGGGATGGATTAGAATAGACAAGTGGATGCAACATTTACAGAGTCAAGGAAGAAAGTCAGAAGATACAAATATTCATCCCGACCAGAAAATTCCTGAATCAAATTCCAAACTTTTCCAGACGTTGTGGGGAAGGAGGTCCAGGGCAGCAGCAGGACAGGTCAGAGTTGAGAAACTCATGCAGTGAAAGTTTTCAACAGAACAGAGAAGGAAAAAGTCGTCCCTACCTGAGAGAGTCGGCCAACAGAGAGAGAAGGAGAACAGGAAGAGCCAGCAGGGCTCCACTAAGGAGGAAAGAAAGAAGCCCACAGACACTTGTTTTTCCTCAACAACTGTATTGTGATTAAAGTGCAGGAGTTTATGTACAAAAATACAGTCGTGCTGGCCTCAGTACCCCAAAGAAACAAGAGAGAACACAAGGAAGGCACAAACTCTGGGGTGGAGAGCAAGAAATGAAAAGCAAAATACAAAAACAGAAAGAGAACGAGATGAGAAGAAGAACTGCTTGTGTCAGGAAAGTGGTTCTGAGTTGATGACAAAGTAAATCTTCATTTTAGGTTTTCTAAAACTATTGTTGCAGAACTTTTGAGTATTTATCTTCGATGCCATTTCTGAGATTCAGAACCACTCTGCTGCTTTTTATTCCGACTCATTAAAACCCAAAGATGAACTCGGCTCCATGAAAACATGGAGGATCAATGAGGCTGGATCTTCCTCACTAATTATCCATCAGTCTCCTCATAATCAATAAGTCAAAACAAAACCCATCAGCAACACAAAATGCTTATTCTGCTGCTAATTTACCTCCCACACATTTTCACAACAAAAGTTAAAAACTTGAACAAAAATGTGTGATGCCTTGCTGAAGTATTCACACCCTTCGAACTTCAAAACGACAAACTTGAGTGCATTTTGTTGGGATGTTTTATACAGACCAACACAGAGTAGAGCATGACATAGACTGAGGATGGAGTTGATTTAAAATATTTGATGAGACTTAATTAAAGTTCACTGCTGTGCTCTGTGCAATCTCTTTGAGGCTGAACTATTTAGAGGAGAGCAGGTAGACATTTTATTCATTAAATGTGCAAAGCTGGTAGAGACGCAACCCAGAAGATTTGAAAGCTGTAATTATAGAAAAAGTTGTTTTGACTCAAGAGAGATGAAGACTGGACAAAAGTATGAGCCCACTGCACTGAACTCCATTGAAAAGCTCGTGGTTTTCCACCAAGTATTGATTTCTGAACTGTTCTAGAGTTAAAACATTAGTATTGTTACTTCTAAATGAATATGAACTTGTTTTCTTTGCATTATTTGAGGTCTGAAAGCAATGCGTCTTTGTCATTATTTTGACCATTTCTCATTTTCTGCAAATAAATACTACAGTTTATATATGTATTTTCCCTTCCACTTCACAATCATGTGCTACTTTGCATTGGTCTGTTACATAAAAATCCAATTAATAAAGGTAGGCTATTGTAACAGAAATGTAAAAAGAGAAAAGGAATGAATACTTTTTCAAAGCACTCTATGTATATTATTATTTTGCCAATCAGTTCCAAATGTGATAAAAAAATGGGAAAAAAAAAAAAATCAGGGAAAAAAAACAACTGTTTAGTGCGCCCTCCAGTGGTTATCACAAGCAGCATCTTCACATGTTTCCATAAAGTAAAAAAAAAAAAAAAAAAAAAAAATTAGTGATGAAGTAGTTTGCTCTTTCACTGACAATTTTCTTTTTAAACGTCTCATGTTGTACAGCAGGGGGCGCTCTTTCCCTTCCCATTAATTCAAAGTGCTTCAGGACTCTGATGATTTTTTTTTGCAGGGTGAAGAAAACATACGAGATGGAACTGGGCTATATTTCAATCTGCAAAACCAAACTGAGCTCATTCCACAGTCTTTCTGAAGATTTTGATGTAAGTTGCTATTTTAAAGCTCCCACATGATTCTCACACAGAGAAGCTAGGACTAGGAGAGGATTTAAAAAAGCTTCACAGTTACATATCCATCTTTTTCTAGGCTACTGCACTTGAAGATGCGTCATCCCTAAATGGGTTTTGTATATCTGAAGAGAAATCCGCTAACATTCCAGACGATCGTCTTACAATTTTAGATTTCCTGTGAGCGTAAGTAACAAGCAAGGACCCTGGCTCTTCATAAACACCTTTCAACCAAATAAAATAAAAATAAAAATACCCAAAGGTGTGAATACAACATCCTCATGGCACCCTGCAGCTACAGTCACTCCTGATGCATTCTGTCAATCACAAACTATACACATGAATTATTTACAACATGTACAGTGAAAATAGCTCTCACATGCTTCCTAAAGTTACTTTATAAAACAAAAATGTTCTAAAATAGATTTCTTTTTCTCTGGGCATGTAGAAACAGCAAGACGGATCATATATTTAGATCATAAAAACAAGTAAACAAGCCCTGAACATAATTAAGACCTTAAAACCAGACAGTCACAAGAAAGAAGGTACAGTAGTTGCATATAACCAACAACTGGAATGTGCATAATTTCTAAAAACGGATGTTTATAGTTTACAGACACACACTATGCTACCCTTCACCGAGCTTCATTCAAACGTCTTGATTATTGCCAGATCTTGTGATGAAGTCACTGAGTTCAGCAGGCAGCTACTTTGCATTGTAGCAATAAATACTTTCATTTCTGGACAGTGGCTGTAAGTTTGAGAAGCACCTCCAACACAGAGGAAACCTTTGACAAAAACAGAGATTGAGAAAGAGACATTTTTTGCTACCTCACATGATAACAGTCACAGAAAGGAAAAGTCTCTCGCTTTTGGAAGCAAAACTCTGGCTTAGAGTTCAGATTTGATGGCTTTATTGCGTCACGTTTCTCCTGCCTAACACCTGATGAGAAATTGGTACAGAGGCCAGTTCAGCTCCCAGCAGGAGCTCAGCTAACAGAGTTGGGCTAAGCTAACTCTAATCACAGATCTCCTTTCAGAGAGCCTTCAAAAAAAATGTGGCAAAGCTCAGAGACTCCATTTTCTTGCTTTTGCTGCTTTAACTGAGCCCAACTCTGAAGCCCGAGCTTTTACACCTCTAATCAGACTCATCGTCAAGCTGCAGGCTAATGAACTCCTGCATGCACTTCCTGTACTGCATCTCGGTTGGGCTGTTGGAGTTATATTGACCTGACGGGTTGTAGGGCCCCTCCGCCTCCCGCATCTCCTCGTTCATCTTGGCCAACCGCAATCTGAGGAAAAGCGACAAGTCGGAAAAATAAATCCGAACAGAAATCACACCTACAAAAGATTTAACAAGATTTTTGTAACACTGCAATCTCTTTACAACTCAGTGCAAAAGTATTCAGACCTCTAATCATATTTGATAGAGCAACCCATGTTAGGTGTTCAACATTTTTAAACATCATTGGACAGAACTTCTGAGTATTAAGGAATAAAACTCACAATGTGACAATATCTGCGTTTGCCGCCTCCACTGCTATGCTCAGCGGCGTCTTCTCGTCGATGTCGGCGGCGTTTTGATTTGCTCCTCTTTTCAAGAACAAACAAACTTGGCTGTAACAGAGAGAAGTTGATGAGATGCTGTTTTTAGAAATGTTAGAGGCAGATCGGTGTGTCTATGTGATCGAACCCTGTGTGTCCCAGCATGGTGGCGTGGTGCAGCGGCCCTCTGCCCTGAGCGTCCAGCTGGTTCACATTGACTGCGTTTTGGAGCAGAAACTCACAGGTGACCAGTGAGCCCTGAAGAAGATATCATGAAGGGCTTTTCTCTAATTGTACTGTATATTTGAGGAAGTTTTTTGCTGGATTCATGACATTTCTAACAAATTAATCAATGAATAAATATTGTATATAATAAAGGTCTTCTTATTTTCACACTGACCCCATGCACTGCCATGATGAGCGGCGTCCTCTTGTCCTCCTCGGTGTTGACCCAGTTGACCTCGGCGCCGTGGGCCAGAGCCTCGGCCATGTCCGGCAGGCTGCGGCTGAAGGACGCCCAGTAGAGCTGCAGACCCGGGCTGTACTCCTTTGGCTCAAAGAAAACCACATCCTTGCAGGGTGACGCAGTCGGGAGCGTGGCAGGCATGGGGGGAGACTCTGCAGCTTCTGGAAATTAGAGGGAGAGACCTGTGTCATATTTGCCCTCTTAAGATTTATTTTCTGCCTTTTTTCAAGTCAAACTGTTATGATTCAGGTCAAACAAACTGGTGACCTGAATGCAAAAATAGCTTGTTAAACAATGGTTTCATTTATTAAAGAACAAAGTTACTCAATTATGCTTGATCTAATGTGAAAAAGTAATGGGGTCGATTTAAAGAGCGACAAAAAAACCTGATAATTGTCAAATTAAGAACTTAATTTCACACAGCAGATCAAGATGCTCAATTCAGATTTTTTACTGATTTATTCCTATTTTTTGCATGGTTGTTATTCTTCTAATTCAAAGCAACTGCAGTCAGACTACTACAAAGTGATTTGCATGTGCGGAACAACATTGACGTCACATGGCGTACAACCTGTAGGAGACATATATATTGCATATTACTGTTTAAGGATCAATTTTAAATTTGTGGAGCAACGAGAGGCGACCGTGTTTTTACAAGTTCATTAACGGGAAGCGAAGAGAAAAAGAGAGGGCAGGGGACAGACAGATGACTTTTTGGTGCAAAATTATTACCCTTTCTATGTCAATCATGTAAAAGTCAGACGAAATGCAACATGATTGCAGACACTTTGAAAACAAACTGACATGAGTCTCCACCACATGTGGAAGTGGAACAAATCTGATTGCATGGTAGAGAAAAAAAAATCTCAACTGGACCGTGAGACAGCCTTGAAAACGTTGGATATATGTTGCAAAAAAACAAAAAAACAACAAAAAAAAAGAAAATCACACTCAGGTCACATTTGCCTGCTGTGAATAAGTCATTAAACATGTTTGGCAGCATAAAGTAGGCAAAAAACTCTCAAAAAGCAACTCACCTGCATCTGCCAGGCTGTTAGTGGATGGAGTGGTGGCCAGCATCTCCCTGCTCCCATCAGTGCTGTTCTGAATGCCGCTGTCCGCACTTTTCACTGCAAAACAAACAATCTGATTCACAACATGTGGTTCACTAGATGAAACTGTTGTTGCCAAAGAGCATGACATAAAAGGAACACCTTCCAGCTAATGAGTTTTGATTTGATATAATCGATATGAGTCTCCAGATGTTCCTGAATCAAATGTTTTTATGAACTTTATTGAGGTTTGTGCAGTCCGAGTAGGAAGGTATTCCTAATATTTCTTATTGGCAACAACTAAATGATGGTAAACAAAACAGAGCCCTGGATGACAGACTCCCTCCATCACCTTAAGATCCCGGTCCCTAAAAACAAAACAAACGAAAAAAAGAAAGAAAGAAAAAACCAAAACAATGATACAGATATAAGTGCAAATACCAGTTTGAGTGAGAGAAATACTGCCCTCCTCCTTTATAAACACAGTAACATGTCATGTTCTGCAAAGCTTACAGGACAGCATGAGTCTGGATGAGAAAGGAAGAGAAGGAAGGATAAAGGGCCGCTACTCCCAAAACTGTAAAATTCAAAACGAACAGCAGAGGGGGGGACGGAAAGCAAGCCAAATACTCAGCTGTTATTACTTACTGCTCCTGAGCTTGGAGGAGGTGTCAAAGTAGGAGAAGAGCGAGTCAAGCTCATCAGGACAGAAGAGAGAGTCGCGGCGGGCCTCTTTGCCGCAGGCAGCAGCTACGCAAGGGATGATGGGAAGTGCAGTTACGGTTGCGGGGTGGGGTTGGAGTGTTTTGAGGTCAGAAATACAAGGCGGGTTAGTCCAGAAGCACAGAACAGCCAGAGAAGGAATGGAGGGAGTAAAAGTAAAAGGAATGAGAGAGGAGGGAAAGAAGAAAGCAAGGTGGGGGAAAAGATGGTTAGACTACAGGCTGGGCTAACACTGGAAGAGACAGACTGCAAAAAGCAATGCGAAGCAAAGAGGCTGCAGACGTATGCTGCTCACAAATAATGTACGTTACATTGATGGGTGGGCTACAAACACCACACAGCTGTCAGTCAACAGTCTGGATGAGAAAACCTCCCCACATCTAAATCCAGCAGCATTTTACAGCCAGGTAAACCTGAAATGCTCTCAAAGCTTCTAAATGTAGTGAGATTGGAGTCAGGGTGACAACATTTTTGTTTTTCTTATTCTGAAAGTTGGGTTAGATAAAGAGCCACCTGGTGTTTTTATTAGGCACCGACCTGTCTGTCCAGAGGCATGAGAGCCTGGCCGAAGTTTGGGAGTGGGAGGAGGTGCTTTAGGCGGCAGGTGGTCCGAGCTGCTGCTCAGCCTCTTCTCCTCTTTGCTCAGAGAAACAACCTTATTACGAAGCTCCTCGTCTGATGGCCGGCGGACGAAACGTCGTTCCACGTACTTGGCTTTGATGTAAGCCTCCACCTCATGTCTGCCGGCAAATAACACAGACATGTTGGGCTGATTAATGCAACCAAAAGAGGTCAAAAGCTAGGAATATTTTTTCAGGGCACATTATGGTATTCAGTGAAAGAAAAACTCACAGCAGATTACTGTTAGTTAGTAAAGTTATCAATTATTCTGACAACCAGATTAAAAAATGGCCACATTCTGCAGATTTTCTTAATTAGCCACCTAAGCTTCTTTATGCACTGCAAAAAACTAATAACTTTACCAAGTACTTTTGTTTTAGTTTATGGTGCAAATATCTTTGTGCTTTTGAAATGAGACAAAACTAACTTAAAAGTAACTTTTCAGCCAGATATAGGAGCTGAAAGTCAGTAATTTATTAATACTGATGAAAAAGTCTGACTGCCTCACTGGTGGATAGTTTCCCTGATAACTAGTACTTTTTCATCAGTATTAAGAAATTCTTGACGTAAAATATTATATAGTTATTTACAAAATCTTGCTGAAAAGTCACTTGTGAGTTTACTGAAAACTAAGTAAGTAAGTTTTCAGTAAACTTAGTCAAAGTTTATTGAAATATTTACACTAGAAACCAGACCAAAAATACTTGGTAAGATATTGTGTTTTACCATTGTACAATATTAAGTATACATTAAAAGATACAAAAAAAGCAAATTATTATATTTCTTTTTTAAATAAGAAAATGAATATTTCATTACCTAAAATATAATAATAACACCGGCAGTTTTATACCTGGGGTCTCCCGGCTGCGGTTTTCTGGCTCCTAGTTCTTCTCGCCGAGCTTCATATATCTGGTTGATCACTCCGTTTCCCAGTTCACACATCAACTGGTGAAATTCATAAAAAAAACAAAAACAATCATTACTGAACTTGGCATAAATCAGAATAAAATACAGTTTGCAGCAGGGTCAAGACTTGACATAAAATGAATCTCAACAATGAAGCCAAATTACCTTCAGCAGTTCTGGCTCCCATGAGTCTAAAGTTAAAGACCGAACCTTGGAGAAATGCACCCCCAGGCTCCTGTAGGGGGAACAAGTAAAAAAAAAAAAAAGTATCTCTTTACATATTTTTGCTACAGCAATAAAAGTGAATTGAGCTACAGAGCAGATTTGACTCTTTTTCTTGCACTGTGAAGTTACAAAGATTTCTTTTCTATTCACTCTTTTCATCTTTGTGTAGTGAAGTTTATTCTATGAATACATCGTATGTGCAAGAGTCAAAAACAAAGACATACCATTAGATTATTTTATTATTATGTAGATTGTGGGAAAAAGTCTTGTGACTTTCATATCAAGCTTTAATTAACATTGCTATGGAAAGTAATTAAATGTTGTCACAACATCCCACCCACATTGAGGGTTTTCACACCATAACAGAAAATATTTCCCCAAACTTAGAAAAGCAAACAAGTTTTAATTATTTTTTGTTTTCTCAGAGCTGAAGTGAACTCTACATGACCTGCGTTATGCAAGACCTCTGAAAGATAAATAAAATGCACCCAAAGTGTTCACTTGGTTTATTAGTTTTGCTGTTTTTTTCATGTAGAAAAACCTGTTGCATTTTGAGAGCATTTATCGGTGTGTGGAAAGCGCCTGTGTCTCTACCTGTGGATGCCAGAGCACTGGATGCAGAGAGTGATGCCCAGGTTGATGCTGGCCCAGCGCGGGTCCGGCTGGCCACAGTCACAGCAGCAGGCGTTGCCAGGGATGGCCAACACCTTCTGCAGAGCGCTCTCTCCTTTCAGCGACCTTTCCTTAGGTTCTCCTCCGGAGTCCAGACTCCCCGTTGACGTGGAGGACTTCCTGTCCAGCTTCTGGCATGAGATTGCATGAGGAAACAGGTCAGTGTTCAGAATAGACAGTAAATTAAACTCAAGAGCTAAATAAATAAACAGCTGAAGAGTATGCCAGAAGTCCACGTCTCCTCTCACATATATTTCTAAAATTAAATCCTATTCCATTGTGCTGTTAAAAGACTTAACATCTGGATCTTTCTGACATAACTTTTTATACTTGAACAGATTCATGCTCTCGTGTGTTTTTTTTTTTTTTCTTTACCTCGCCGCTGTCTCCCTTGTCACGGAAGGCGGTGGCAATGCTGTTCTGGACGGCTTTGATCCAAGCCTGCCGCAGCTTCTCTGAGTCGGCCTGCATCATGCAGCTCCTTCACAGGGGAACACAAGCATCAAACAGCAGCTGTGAGAAAATCTGTTTGTGTCTTAAATGATAGATTTGCTGCTCCTCCAATCCCAAACTTTTCATTACCACATGCATTTCTGGTATACTTCAGTATTTCTTAGACTGCTAGAAATGATCATTTGATTCTGACTTACTTTGTGGGTGAAACTACTTCGAAGCAGAAGCGCCGCTCGATGTCCTCGCAGTGCTTGACTGTACATAGCCTCAGGTCTTCTACCACTACTGTGGGGTTGTCCTGTGGGGTGGCAGAAAAACAAAATACCACTCACACATCTAAGACAACTGCAATGTGAACACCATTTAAAATGTTCAGTTATTACTTTCAAAGAGAATGTACAGTCACTTTGCTTTCACAATCCACTTATTTACGAGGGTAGTAGATTTTATTAAACCATGTAAATTTACATGAGTGACTGGATTTGAGCGATGTGTTTCTGATAAAATAAAATAAAAAAGACATTACTGCCTTTGTATCAAGCACCATGACTTTGAGTTACTAGTAAATGTGAATGCTTAACATTCATAACAAGGGTGAAAAATAGATGTGTTTATCTTCTACTGAATCATAAATACAAATACTTTTCAAAATTATAACCAAAACAGAAACCCATCCTGAACTTCAGCAGTGCTTTACTCCACACTTTACAGTTGTTTCAAAGATCTGCCTTAAAGCAGTAAACTAAAAATACTCACAAAAAAAAACCCAAAACAGAAGCATTTTTCTGTGTGGTTGATGTGGGGAGTCAGTTGACATACCTTAAATTTCTTCTGGTAAACTAGCTGATTGTTTTGGATGGAGAACCAGCGTCTGAAAGGAGAGCACATGTTTAAGAGGAAAATCAGTTGCATGCAATGAGCAGAAATGCTGCTAAAATATCTCACAGGGAAGCCCATAGAAACTGATGACTAAATAAATCACTTTTTTTATTCTCAAAAACAAGGGACACAAAATTAATACATTTAGAGTTTAAAAGTAGTAATGCATCACCAGAAAATTATCAGTTTGTTATATTAGTTGAGATTTCAAGGAAGAGAAGAATGATAGTTCAGGAATGTGATTTATGGAGGTACTAAAATGTACAAAAATGCACTTTTTGAACATGTTAACATGTTTTCAAACCATGCCAGGATTATTTTCTATGTATAAAAGAAAATCATTTGGAGATATAAGTTTTAGGATAACTAAAGCTGGAAATCTTTTCTTTTCTTTACTCAAGACGCTTTGAAGCAGCTTCTTTTAACGATCGTTTTTTGGAAACTTTAACTTCTGTCTTCTACAAACATGCTCACTGGGCTGAAGTCAGATTGTTTTTGTGGTAATTTTAAACTTTATTGCCATCTGAGCAGTAAAGAGCCCTAATATCCCTGCTACAGGATCAGACTGAATATAAGAGGAGATCAAGAGATTTCTGTACCAAAAAAGTTAGCAAGTGCCCTGTTTCTTTTGTTCCAGTCATTTACTTGAATTTATGTGTCATTACCTCTTAATTCCTCAGAAAATATTAACGATACATGCTACTTTGAAGCAAAAGAGCAAAAAAAACTTCTTATATTTGTTTAGCTACTCAAAAATGTTTCAGTCTTAAAACTAATAAAGTTATATCTGGTTAAGATTACTTCAAAGCCACCAGTTCAACTTTGTCATTACCTGTTCCAAGTCTTGAAAGCGTTACTGGCCCTCTTGAATAGATAACCCTCCATTGCAATGCCATTATCTGCATCCACATTATACTCCAGCTTTGTGTCGTCATTTGAGAAATCCTGGAAATTACATGCAAAAAAAAAAGGAAACATGGATATATTCACAAAAAAAGTAATAGAACAATAGTCAGACAGCATAAAACCTTCATGATGCTTATTTTCTACTAATTTGGAGCATAACTGAGAAGAGCCAAGTGGTCTTTCAGACGGTAGCTGCTGCTCAGCCTGACCTGAATATATATTCCCAAAAAAATAAATCAAGCAAGAGTGAGACAGCATGCCTGATTTACAGCAGCTAATTTAATTTATAACCACTGCATGCAACAAATTGAAACATAGAAACACACATTTACTATCTATTTGCCTCAAATAATACAAAAGGAGTATCAAGCGAAAAAAATAAAAACAGAAATGTTTACAACCAACCTACTAATAAAATAAACTTTGGCATAAATAAGTGGTAAGATTGAATACTTCAGATCTTGGGTTCAATTTATATGTTCAATAGAAAAAAAATATGTTTGAATGAAAATCTATGCAAAGCATAAACAACAGCAATCGACCAAAGACAGGAAACCAGCAATTTTACCTCAACTGTCTATGATTGGAGGTCGGCAGATCGAATACTTCACACTTTTTTTTTTTCAGTTTAATATAAATCAAATAAGTAAAAAGCATTTGCATGGATGCATAAATGTAGCTGATTCTATAATTACTACATTTCCTGCTGGATTCCAAACTACTTCCTCTATCAAGGCCGAGCCGCCGTAACCGTTTACGTTGCCCTCTGGACTTCAGAGAACGTCGAGATTATGGTTGTATCATTTGGCAAGTTTATAATTTTATCAGTCAAATCAAATCACTTTATTTTTACTATGTCAGAGTACATTAATGTTAAAAATGTTTGATTTTATTTAATTTGATGATGTACTCCGAATAAGAAAAAGCTACAATATACTAACCGTCTCATAGTTTCATTAATGCGTTCCGCCACAACTGGCCATTGAGGAAATTCATGATCTTGATGCGACTCGAAATGAAAATGAGTTTGACATCCTGGTCAGAATCACTTTAGAGACCCACGGATTTCCTCAACATTATGGCCGCACCAAGAAAATCTCTCCTTAAAGGTTATGAACAAAATCAGAGACAAGAGGAAACCTGGGCAAACTCCATGTCTCACAGGAAATGAGCCCAACTTATTGCTCCGACATCAGTTATACAGGCTGCCAACAGAACCACCCAGAACATTTTTTAATTCATTCTGTTATAGCTCTTAGAATAATATGTTTGATTGGTCAAAATCAGAGCAGCTCAGATATTTAAGAAAATCTGAAAGTAGTGAGACCATGAAGCTGCTGTTTTCCATATCTGCTTGTAGTTTGTACAGTGAAAAGCGAGGCATCACAGAGTCTCTGTCTGAATATCCTGCCTGGCTGCTGTAACTCAGTCTCATGTGTCGTTATGAGACTGCTCAGCATTAACTACCTGAGGTGCTGCCACACTCTCCTCAGCTTCAGGTGACATTACGCACCACCCTGTACAACTACACAAGAGTGTGCGAGATTGTGTGTGTCCTTGAAGGGTCAATTTACAGCACGCATCAGTGTCTCCATAAGCAATTACAGCTTGATGTCTTCAGATTTGTTCCTGTAACAAGCAGGGGGATCATCTTATCTGTTGTCCTTCCAGAAACACCCAATGTCTTCCACCAAACCTCTGGGTTAGAAAAGTGCTTGTCAATGTAAGCAAGCCGATATATTCAAAACAGTTAAAATTAGTTTACTTAATTTTAACTTGGAGCAACCAAATGGTTTCTCTATTTGGGGATTTTCTGTAAAGTATTGTTAATGTTCTAAAATAGCTATAAAAGTATCATTCAACAATGTAAGTCCACCTTAAACAAGCCCAGGGCTGAAACCAAAACATCACACACTCATAAACAAAGCAAACATAAACCTGCAGGAGTCTGTAAACATTTCAGTTTGTCGACTGGAAGTGACCTCAAAGATACAGCAAGTTGTGACAATGGCTACCACTTCCTGCTTACTTCCTGGACATCAGTAAGATGACAAAATCAGTTTTGAGTTTCTAGACAACCATAGTGCTTTGCAAAAATATCCATACCTATTTAACATTTTGTAAAATTGTAGCAGAAAACTTTTAGATGTTTTCATGGGATTTTAATTGCCACGTAAAAGGAAAATATTGCATGCTAATCTAATCTTTTTTTCCCTCCAAAAATTCTGAAAAGTGTGGCATGCATTTATATTCAGCCCCATCCCCCAAGTCAATATTTCATAAAAGCACCTTTTGGTTCGTGTCTGGAGATAGAAACTTTCACTCCTTTCTTTCGCTAATGAAGTCCTCTGCCACACATTGGTTAGCAGATTCAGGGTGAGGGAAAGTGTTTTCATCACATTGTATTTTATATGTAGGTATATTTAAAACACTTTGAAAATCATTTTCCTTCCAATTCACAATTGTCTGCTGCTTTGTGTTGAAAAAGATTTCATTTTAATTTAAGGGTTAAGATTTAAGTTACCAAAGATTTCCTGTGGGATTAATAAAGTTTTTCTTATTTTGGGAGCTTACTGTAGTATCACAATATATACTGTAGCTGTAGATCTAAAAAAGAAATTATACTGAAGCTCTTCAAAGCTGTGGTTTCCTGGTCCTGTCATTTAAAAACCAAAGGACTAAACTGTGGCGATGAATAACAACCCTCACATCAAACCAGCAATCAAAACTCCCTTTAGCAGACATTGACAACAATACTGACATGCTGCATTATGAGGAGAGCAACACTGATGCATGTGTTGGTCTGTAAAAGTGAGGGAACGGATAAAGATGCAAACATCTACACGAACACTGCAATGCAGTTTCCAGGCATGTGCTGACGAGGGAATGAAGGGCTGAGACAGGTGGGGTTACAACACAGACACCAGATGGAAGTCAATGCATCGACTACGTACAGAGGTCGACCTCCAGGCACAAAAGCTGCGATGGTCTGGTAAAAAGTCAAGCTCTGTCACCTCCTAAAATTTCACACAAACAGCAAGAAAAGAAAGGTTGCAATTCCAAGAAAGGAAGAAGAGGCGGTCCAAATGAAAGAAAACTTGAAGCAAAAAAAGTAAAACTAAACACCACTCGAGTGGACATTGGCACAGTGACACCGTTACATGCTCAACATGCACTCACCAGATGCCACACATAGTGAAAACGGCTGAAAATCTTCATTTTTCTCAGTTTCTCCTTGCTAACTCATACGCTAACTCGTATGAGTTTCCCCTTACAGCTGACACTGGTCAGCGCCAGTATGTGTGGCATCTCAGTGACTGAAGTCACTCGAAGCCTTGTGGATCACAGTGTCTACAACCGTCACATCCCCGCCTCTCCTCTGGCTGTGTCTATCTAACTAGAGCAGCTGCTCCTCCTCCAGAGTGCTCAGGACCCAAGCAAAAGGTCACCTGTTTGCTTTTATAGAGGACTTAGAGAATAAAACATGACTTCACTTTGATAGTAGTACGCTCAGCTTCCTCTTCTAAAAGCTTATTATTAATTGTTTATGTCATAGGAGTCTCTAGTTTATTGTCACATAAAAATGTCTGCAGCTGTTTTAGAGCATTGATCTCGACTTATTTTCTTTAGATAAGACAGAGATAGAATGGTCCAGCAGCACGTGACTGTGTTTCTTAAAGGCACTTTAGCTGTGTCATGGTCTGACATCAGTGTTTCTGCTAAACAATGCACACAGGCACAGAGTTGGAATACTAAACACAACCTCAGGACCCATTTAAACTCCCATAAGGACTTCAACAGAAGAATCATGATGCCATTTTTTTATTGTAGACAAAAATAAACATTCGAGGCTGGCAGACTTCCTTCTTGCATAATGGGGAAGTAATGTGAAAAATGTCCGAGTGATGATGTTGATGGTTTTTAACAGAAGAAGTTCCTTGAAATGGTCTTATATATTTAACTCACACTTTCTGGTTTCTGGCCAAACTTTAGGTTTGACCTTGCAAAAGTATCCACACCACACATCCAAAGCCTGGAATATCGATACATCACCAAATTCTGCTTTACATTCCTCCACATCGTTCTCCCTGACATGATTGCTGTGTTCTTTGATCTTCACTGATTTTGTTTGTTTTCCACTGTTTTCTAACAAGAATGCCTGGATTCTCTGTTTATTAATTAGAAAAACCGAGAAAGGCAAGTGTCTACACTTAATTTATAGCTGAACACCAAATTTCTCAGCTTCTTAGTTGTAAAATATGTTGAAACCCATTCATCATATCCACTCCATCACATTTATGTGTTGCTTTGTGGTGAAATAAAATCTTGATAAAACATTATGTGGCTTGAAGTATTAAGGTAATGTGACAAAATGTGGAAAAAAAATAAAATTGAGGGAAAATACTTTTTCAAGGCTTTGTATATGCAGAATGAAGTGGAGTGAAATAGTTTGACACCAAGGCAAACACTTTAGCTGCTTAGCCTTGTTTTCACAAAATGAGGGACCATGTCAGGAGTAAATAATTTAACTAACTGAATGCTTTGCAGAACTGATTTGGAAGAAAATATGTGCGATAGCTGAAAATAAATGTGAAGAAAAGCATTTCTTTTAAAGACTGAATAGGAACTGTGAATGACCAAACCTACCTGAGGATGAATACACCATGTGAAGTCATGTGCAGTAACCGACTTAAGCGTCAAAACAGCATTAACTTATTCAATAACCTCAGCAAACTCATAAACGCATCAACAGCACAAAGCACAGAAGCATGCCTGGCAACTTAACTCAAACATGACAACCTGTTATCCACATTACCAATCAAATGTCTTCTTCACTGAAGTCTTTCTAAACAGTGAGCCCTGCAGAAATCAATTCTGACCTTCCACAGATCCAACACTAAACTATATTCATGCAGATGTTGCATGGTAGTAAAAATGAGGGGAAAAGGAAAAGACACTCCACTTACCTGCAGTGCAGCCTGGAGAGATTAGAAAAAAAAGATGAAAGAAGAGCAAAAGCAGAAAGGAAAGAGAAGACAACATGGTTAGAAGGGTGTAGGCAGATGCAGCCAGACAGAGAGAGCAAGAACGCTTAAAAATAGCATCCAGTTAAACAGAGGAAGGATATCTGGAAGTTGGCAGAGATGCCATGAAGTTAGATGAAGGAGAGGACAAAAGGAAGGAGGAAACACATACAGTATGCGTTTCTTCCACCTGAGTTATCAGACAGTGGAATATGAAAATCCCATTAAGAGAACAGCCGGGTAAGTTGTCTGTATTTACTGATGCTGTGTGATGTACAACTAAACCACAAAGCAAATGACTTCCATCACATAACAACCAGCTCACGACTTCATTACTTTTTAGGGCATCATCAAACTCAACAGATGCAGGAGTCCCAGATCAAAAGACGTGCCACTGATCTGCTGCATACTTTAGCAAACTGAGCAGAGAAACTGAATGGTGAAACAAACAAGTGCTATTCAGGAGATCTGAAAGCACGCTGAAACCAAACTGAGTTTGTTTAGCAATGGATTCCCGTCTGCTATCAATAATGCATGTGTGTGTAGCTGAGATCATCGTCAGGGCTCACCTGACACCTGAGGGCGGACTACTACTGCTCTTCCCTCAATTGACAAACACACACTCGACTGAACAAGTTAATACCCAAGTATGGCATTGTTTTCCTTTATTTCTGACTCCCTTTACAAACTTTTATCAGATTCCTGATGTAATTAAACCTACAAACAAAATAGTATTACAGTTACTAAATATGCAAATTTGTGATGACACAGTGAGAAAGTGTTTGAGTGTTCTTCAGGGGACACAGACAAGGAAGAAAAGTTACTTTTTGGCCTTCATAGAAAACATTTTACATTACGTGGCCCTAAAAACACCATCTTTACTGTGGCACATGGTAGTGGCAGTATCATGCTGGAGGAATATTTTTTTTCAGCTGGTCAGAGTTGATGGATGGGGCTAAATTTTAGAGGCTGAAAAAGATTGAAGCGTAGGTTCACCTTGCAACAGAACATCAAGCATAAACACACAGCCAGAGCTGCAAAGAGGAATGGCTTTTATTACAGCAGTCGTGTTAAAATGACCTAGTCAAAGTCTAGATGTGAATCCAATTAAGACTATTTAGCAAGCTTTTACAAAATGTATGTTCACAGAAACTTTCCGTCCGTTCAATCCGGACTGAAGCCATTTTGAGAAGTGAAGACGTTCCAGATATACTACATGTACATTGGTATAGAAACCATTGGACCATGTTTGATTTAAACCCCAAAAAATGATGAGGAAACAGCGCTCATGTGAATTTACCTTTTGTTGGATGGTGGAGTGCTTCTGCTCCATGTCCCTCTTCTCCTTGGCAGCATCGACCACCAGCTGGTCCAACTGCAGAAGACAGGACAACATGGTTCAGTTTACCAAACCGACCGGTCAAAAACAGCCAAATGTCTCAAAGGCAGCTTCAGCTTACACATAAAGAGCAAAATGATCTCCCAAGACAAAGATAAATAGCAGAGCTTAGAATCTGAGGAATGACAACCATTTATGGTTTGAGTGTGAGGTTTATTTTTGACCTCAGATGTGTTGAAAAGGCAAATTTTCAGCTTTATGCTGATCGAGCAAAGATCAGACCTAAACAAGGCAAGTTTTCTCTTCTAAACAAAATGGGCTGTGTAAAGCTGGCTTGATCACGGGTGAAATGAATGAGAAATTCTAAACTTTTTTTCACTCCTTACAGTAAAAACTGCGTGCGGCGAGGAAAACAAGGGCTCCTTTGAGAACACAGCAACTTAAAAAAGTCTTCAATAAAGAGCTGAGGTTCATAGGCTGCTGCTGAAAATGTGCCGGTTTGCCTTAAAGCTGAGAAATCTTAACTCGGACTCTCAAGGGTTTGTTGCTGTGGCATGACCTAAATTATGCCTCAAACACAAAAGAATCAGTATCTGATTAGAGGTCAGTGTTTGAGGGGCTGCAGGAGGAATGTGAGGCGTGATGAAGGAGGTTCAAAGTTTCCTCTGCAAACTAAATATTCAGATATTGAGTAATGTTGGAGTTTTAAAGTAGACTGAAGCATTTGTGGTCATTCTGAAAGCTCACAGCTAATTAAAAATCTTTACTTTATTTCAACTAAAAACTCTAAAATCACGTCATGAAGTTATTTCTCAGCTGATTTTGCCAAACTTCCTGGCTAATATGAAAGAAGGTCGACAGACAAATTTTAAAGAAATAAATAAGTATGAAAAATAACAGAGGCACAATTAACAGAAATGTTAACAAAAGATTGACTGGCTCTGGAGTCAGAACTTGGATAAAAGAATGGCGTGGACACCGAGGCTTCTCATCAGAAAAACAATAAATGTGGCTCATTGTTTTGCTAACTATCAACAGCATAATGTAGATCATTTTATGATTCAAACAATAGAGGCAACAGGTTTGCATGTAAAGGTTCATGGTGCAATGTGTGCCACTGATTCAAAAGTGCAAACAAACATTTCATTCCTTCAACTTTCATATTCCATTTATATTCATAGTCCTGCATGAAATTAAATCTTAACTTAGTGTTGCTTCTGTTTAAACATTTATTAAGACATGAGCAGATTTAATCATATCTTTTTTTTTTTTTGCAAAACTCTATTCAGAACACAATAATTTTAAATCAGTGTGATGGTTAAAAGCAACAAATGAAAGCAATATCACAGTAAAACACACATTTCATTTCTCTAGCCTTTTATGCCAACTATGTGTCCATTTAAACTCGCGAGGAGGAAAAGGAAAATTGTTGTCCAAAAATATCTTCTATCAGGAAGTTGCTTAAGCCTATTTTGTTTATTCATGGGACATATTCTGTTATATTTCATAAGATTAGATAGACAAAGGATCTGAACAAAGAACCAGGAATAGCCTGTAATACAAGTCTTGAGAATTTCAATTGCAGTTCAATTTTTTTGTATGTTAGCTATATCTATTTACTGGAATACTCAGCTTCATTGTTTATGAGAATACTGAATGATCAAGATAAATTTATACGTGCTATGCAGATACAGAATTTAATTGGGAAATAGCAACTTATCGATAAAAAATGGGTCTGAAGCTGAAGGACTGAATTGATTTGTGGATCATTTACAAAGTTTTCTTTCTAGGATGAAAAGAAAAGAACAAAAGTCAGCTCATCAGCTGTAGCAACTTTTGTATTTTCACTTTTACTGCCCTCATGGCGTAACCTTTTTAATTTATGTGGACATTAATGGATCTTATTTTAGTAAATGAAGTCTAAATATATAAACATCTTAAAATGGCGTCTTCCATAACGTACACACAGATTTTGCTGCTGTCTGGCTGTTTTAGAGAAGCCGGGACTGCAGCAGGGATTTGTTTTGCTTAGAGCGGAAATGGGTGGACGAGAGTGCAGCAGGCTGATAAGATCAGGATGGAAAATGTTTTTCTCTGTTATGCTTTGATAACCAGTTCAGTCAAAACGATTCAGTCTCTCTGCTGCCTTCTATAAAAAGACTCATGTTTAACATAAACCTGTATATTATATGTGTCTTTCCAGCTCATGGCCCCCATGACAGAGTTCGGCAGTCGGCAGATGCTTCATGACTGGCTGACCACAAATCTGTGCTGACAACTACAATGACAAGCTTTATGACTCATGGAAAAGATACAGAAAATCCCTCTAATTGAACACAAGTGAATTAATTCAGTCATAAGGCTGTGTGTCACTGAAAGCTTCAATAAAAAAGACTTGATCTATGGGGGCAGTTGAGCATGAAGAAAAAGTAGCAAAACCAGAAGATCAGAAACCTTACCAGCAAAGCAATCAGCTTCCCTCAACATTTCTCAAAATTTATTTTATTTTCTTAAATTCTCAAATGTATTTCTTTTAAATTGCTCAACAATGCTTGATACCTGTTGGCAGCTCCTCCACACCTCCCTGCACAGTCTCTCCACCTTCTTCAGCTTCATGATGAAAGACGATACAAAACACAATCCCCTCGCCGCGGCTTCCCACAGCCCACACTCTGATCTCCCTTTCCTTTCTGCTCTCTTTCGAATTCAGAGCGACAGGCTTGTAATCCACAGCAGGGTTATAGTCCAGTTGTTTGTCAGCTTGAATTCAAAGTCTCTTGCTTTTTGTTTCCTCCCTCTTCAAGGTTTGAGTCTTTTTACAGTCCATTCCTCAAAGCCCCGAGAGTTCCTTTTATTCCTTCCAGAATAGAAAATCTGCATTTGAAAGTTTGTTCCTGTCACTGTCCTGACATCACTGCATCGGATGTTCGGGAAGCAAAGGAATGCTCTTCCCTTCAATTAGGTTTTCACTGCTCCATATTTTCAAATGTGGCTCCCAACGACGCTGTTGTTCAAAATGTAAAAAAATATCTAGTTATCTAGTTCAAACATCACAAAAACTTTTTCTCCAAGGTCTATCTCACACAGCTGAGGATCCCTGCCTCAAAGCTCTGATTCAGAAACCTCCATATCCTCCAACTTTGAGCATCATCCTTAAGTTTCTGCGCTGCGTTCACGCAGCTGACGATCAATCGTGGGAATCTGTGAAAAAAATCCTCTTTCTAGCCTCCTGGCGGCTTTCTTCCTCATTCCTGTTAACTGCAGCAGCAGCTCCACTGCGATAATCATCTTAAAGTCACATTTGGGCTGAGTTCTGCCCTAGAGGGCTGGCCCTACTTGCTGGGGGATGCAGGCATACACACAAAGCGGAAACACACCACACACATACACAGATTCACACAAACACTAATGAGATAGGAACAGAAACAGTGTGCAAGGGTGGATTCTTTTGGGTTGAAATCTCACAATTTAAAAGTGAGACTTCACTTTTAAATGAAATCCCACTTGTTGGATAGACTTGTTTGAAATTATCACATAAATTTTAATCTATACATTGCCTAATAAGAATAATGATGTTTTAAACTAAATTACAAGTGACAAGTGAATAATTAAAAACCCTTTTATCAGTTCTTCCTGCTTTACTTCACATCACTACTGAGCTGATCTGTTGACTCTTTTTTTTGTTTGTAGAAGACAAAAGCGCAAAAGATGTGTATTAGGCAATATGCTTTGACAAAATTTGAAGCTGGTCAGTGAACCCTAGTTAACAATTAATCTCTCCATATTGTCCAGAGTCCTGTAAAACTGCAAAACAGCTGAAACACTGACATCCTTTAAATCAAGAATTAAAATCCGACCTGTTCATAGTTTCTGTAACCCATAAAAAAATCCAACATTGCCCTACATATAACGATTGCACATGACAAAATGCAATGTATGTTACTGGTTTTTACAAGTGTTTCCTGTGTTTATGATATCTTCTCATGATGCAAAGGAATTCAAACTGCCTTGTTGCTGAGATATGCTGTACAAATAAACTTGATTGATTGAATAAAAAAAAAAAATCTAATGTATTTTACCCATACAAGTTAATGCAAGTTAAACCGACTGCTTTTGCTGTGCTGGAAATTATTCAAAAGGGAATCAAAGGTAAAGCCTTTCTGTCATGGTGTGGCAAGTGTAAAAATGTGGGTTCACCCCATCACTCAAGTATGATTAGTGACACGCTATCAACTGTATGCTTCCTGGGAATCACCATGAGTGAAATAAAAAACATAAAAAAATAATCTGAAAACAAAGAAATGACTCCTACAGTACCCAACAGTATTACTGACGTGTCTTTATAAAAATATATCCTGTTTCATACCATACCCTCAAGAATACTTGTTATTAACATGTCAATCTTAAGACATGTTGAGGTAAAGTCTCAGGACAAAGAAGCAAACTTTCAATGGTAGGATTCAAGAAGATATTTTTTATTTAATGAACCACCAGGTGATATGTAAACGGTACCTTGGTGATTGTCTTGGAGCCAATTTTAACTTAATGACAGATTGCAGTTTCTGGTACCACTTAATTAACACAGAATTAACATGATTTTTACCTGCATATGGAGGTGTGACTGAAGAAAGGATTTTTTTTTTTACTTATTTAAGATGAATATGTCAATTCATAAATTTTTTCCCTGAGTTCTTTTGAGTCTGAATGGATTTTTTAGAAGATCAGATCTACACCTGTACGGTTCAATAATGACCTAACTGAGGCGGCTGAAATGGAGATTTGGCGACTCTAAGATGCTACAGTTATCTGACAATTGGTTTTGGAAATGTCTGCTTCCATTAACACCCTGCTTTCTCTGCAGACTGGACTGGCAATTTTAAAAATTAAAAATGCAAATTTAAAAGATGTATCAATTACATTTATCTTAAAGTGTTTGCTAGACAATTTCAAAAATTCAGTCACTAAGACTAAAACAATAATTTTTTAACTTAAAAAATTCTAATCAAAGTCTTTTTTCAATTGTTCAGTGAGATTGTGCTCAATGTTAAGTTTTTATTTCATGCTTTCATCATGGGAGCTAATAAATGTGTTCAAACTGGAAAAAGATCCTAACAAATCTGAAAAAAACATTCAGCAAGTAACATGGATGATTAACAGCGTAATCTGGATGTTTGGAGAAAGCTGCTTGTACCTGTCCACCCAGCTGCTTCATTAGAGGTTGCAGTTCACTAAAGAGGTCATAACCTTGATGGAAGAAAGTCAGATGGGCGTACATGAAGGACAGCATCTGCACATTAAAAACAAACAAAAAACAGCGATTGTTCAAGCAGACATAAAAAAAAAAAAAAAAACCCAGATTATATTCAATTGGCTTTATTGTGATTAGGAGGTAGATTTACCGATTTCAGGATTTCTGATCTTCTCTTAGACTGTAGAACATTTATCTGCAAATAATAAAAGCAAAACAGTAAGAGTCAACAACATAATATGACATGAAAATCCATAAAATGTATTTAGAAGCACAGTAAGTTATTAAAGAATCAAATAAATGGAAGAAAATATTTTTAATTTGTTTTTATTTATCTAGTAAAATCATCTGACCCAAACTGAAACAGAAAGTAAAGTTAATGTCAAGGTTACAAATAGAGAAATGACCAACAACCAAAAACAAATTAAAAAAATACATACAGACAAAGATGTTAATAGAGATCAAGCTAAACAAAGTCCTGCCAATGAATAAATCAATCAATAAAATTTATTACACCATTTGCTGCAAGCATTTCAAGTCAGTGCTTCATTTTCTCAGCATCAGGGGGCGCCCAAGGTCACACATTTGACACAAACATGGAGTTGAAGTCACTTTCTCCTTACCCAGCTGAATTTCAGCCTCATGCGTTCCTGCTTATTTATGACTCTGTGTGCAGCAAACATTAGTAAACTTCTCAGGGGGAGTTTATCTCAGGTAAATGTTGCAGAGAAGCCGAACAAAATTGAGAAAAATACATAAATTATTAAATACTTGCCAGCCTATATTAATAGGCAGGAACCAATAACGGGGCTGCACTATTGATGGCTGACAGATGTAGAGAAAAGGTTGTGAGTTGAAATCCCAGTTGGAGCTTTTAGGATGGACTTTGCATGTCTTCCCTATGCACATTATAATACTTCACACTACAAAATGAACCAAAAAACAATCATTTTTTCACTGTGATCTATCTATCTATCTATCTATCTATCTATCTATCTATCTATCTATGACCTAATATATTAATTAGTCAGCTGGAGAAAGTCTTAGGCCAGCAGATCATTACATCAATACACACAACTTTGGCCACAATGCTAAAAGTCACAAAGTATTGGAGGCTCAGATGAGAAACAGAAAAACACGAAACTACACTTATTTTGATAAATATGAAGCAAATCCCTGCAGGAGTTTACTGACGCAAACTGGGATGACATCGCACTTCATGCTGTGCCAAACTGATGCAGTAATTCTTAAAAAAAGGGCACACCCACATACTGCGACCATATGATGTCCACTACATGGCAATAATTTCCATCAGGCTCACTGTTCTTTATTATTATTATTATTTTATTTAAGCAGCATTCAAAATTTCTGAGAAACTGAATTTTGACTACTGATTAAGTATAAGCTTTTATTATAAATAAATTTATTGCTCTCTGGGTGCAATGATGTATTAAAACAGAGTTGTACTTTAATTTATCCAGAAGCATTTTATTGAAGACAGAAAAGTCTCTCCAGGGTGAAGTGATGCTTTTAGCTGCTAGAAAAGACAAGAGACTCTCTAAACTCTCAGGTTAGCTTGTTTGCACACAGGGAACTGTATGTGGTCAGGAAAGCATGCTCCCAAATCATCCGTACCTCAGAGAACAAAAGCTTGGATTCGTTTTTGTGGCCAGCGATAATTTCATGGTTGTAAGGCAACACTGACCACAGCTGTATTCCTACAAAGATCTTAACTTCCATCCTGGAAAGAGTCATTATTTTGCCACAGTAGCTGAAGCATCACAGCTTTTATGAGCCTCACCCTCCCATTCTCTTTTGATGGCAGGCAGTGTGTAATTGTGCCTAAAGTAGCATGTCAAAACGATGGCGATTTAGTTAGACTGCTGCAACACGGGGCTGAGACAACAGCCATAGGCAAAAGTTACAGGCAATTACAACTGGTTGCTCAGTTGTGGTAAGTCGCATGTTGCCGTGCGGAAGGGAAACAGAATTTTAGAACAGTTAGGGCCATATCTGCCTGTGTTTCATCTCAGAGGAGGCTAAAAAAGGAGTTAATATATAAAACTGTTCTGAAAAGAAAAAAACATGTCCATTTAAGAGTTTTTTATATCACTTTTTTTGGATTTTGTCTCTGTTTTTAGGGTTTGTCAGTTTCAGGAAGTCACCAAATGCAAATTCTGCAAAAACTGCTTACTTATGCATTACTAAATGAGAAAGAAGCCCAGATACAGCTGAACACAATCTATATACAGTGGGAACCATTATTCACATAACATTATACAGAAAAAGAACATGCATATACATAACCAAGAACAAAATAAGTAGCTTAACACCACTTATTCTGTTTGAAAAGGTGTGAACACTTAATTATCGTTTTATTTATCACATAGCTTTGCTCTTCAGCAAAGCTATAAGCTGGTTAATGTAACTAAAGCACAATGTCTCATCTATATTTTCTCCTTCTTCCACCAACCAGAATGTCAACTTAAACTACATAACACATAAACGGGCAAAGACAATCTAGAAGCAATGAAAAAATAAGCTGAAATCTCTTAAATATTCCAGTAAGCACTGCTTGAGGGTGGAGTCTTAAAATGCTGACAACCCTAACCAAATATAAAGCATTAAAAAGGCCCATTTAAATCAGCTGAGCTAGCCGCTCATTTAAAGATTTCCTGAAAGCAAACTAAAGAGCCTGATAAAAACTAAACTAATTCCACACAGTCAGGCTTTATTTTATAAGGCAGCGATTATGCAGAGCTGAAGCAGAACGCTGAAGTCTGCTTTTGGGGGAAAATGGTACAAATGTAGCAGTGCATGTTCCTTTGGAGGGAAATTGAATGGAAAGTACTGGCAGCTGCTTTATCAGAAATCACAAAGTAATTAGAGCTGCTGAGACTCACAGACACAGCTGATGCAATGGACTATATGCAAGTACTTTACAGCAAGAAAAACGTGCAAAAATCCAACACTTCTCCTCACACCTGCCGTGTGATGTGTCTTGGAAATAAAGTGTTAAATCTTGATGTATGAAAATGCATTTCTTGTGAAACCTAACAGACATTTTTATTCAACATTATAAACACTTCAGTTGTTTTCTTGCGAGCTTCCCCCTTTTCATTTCCTTTTCAGCTCATTTCTGATAAACCAGTTGATGAAGAAATGAGTCATTGGTCTTTTCCTTCCCGCTACCGAACATAATGCTGGGAGAAATGGGAGATAATATGACAATCAGCGGATCTTTTTATAGCCATCACTCCACGCGCAGAGTTGAATAAAAATGAAATCACATCAACATAATTGAGCGGAGGGTCACCCTCCATTCAGGTGGGAGTATTAGACAAGATAGCAGCAGCTGGTACTGGTTTAATTAGCCATCTACCTGAGAGGAACTATATAGATGGAGATCACAATTGATTTTTTAAGGTGTTTCACAAGATGTAATTGCCTATTTTACTACTACTGTACATAGAGTTGCAAAAGTATTCATCACATTTTGAGATTTGTGTGACAACAAAACAAAGTTCATAATTTTGATAAATATACATTGTTTTCAATAACTTTTACTTGTAAATCTGGAAAGTACAGCATCTATTTGTATTCACCCTCCTTGAGTCATAACTTTGTAGAAATATCTTCTCTGTGATTATAGCTCCAAGCGTAATCAGTGTTGGAAATCTAGAGACACACTAGAGAAAAGGTACTTTGTATTGCCTTGTTGCTGAAAATGTGTTATAAAAAAATCTGCACCTTATGTGAAATGAGTCAGATCATCCATAAATATCAATGTCCAAGTCTTAACACAGATTACAAAAAAAATTATTTTTGGACTTTGACTGGGCCATTTTAACACATGGATATGCTTTGGTTGAAAACAATTCAGTCTTGTTGGGCTCTGTGTTTCTAGGTAAACGAGGTATCAATGTAAAGAGGTTGTTGCCCGTTTTGCCCTGAATTTAGATTCATCCAGTCAACACTGACCAGACTTTCTTACCCTGTGTGACACAAATCCACACAGAATAATGCTGCCACCAACAGGTTTTAAAATAGGGTAGCATTGTTGATTTCTTATGGTTTACTCTTCTGATCATTTCAATGTGTGTTTCTAAAAGTTGAAAGTTTGTTTGTCTGTTTTAAACTTTTAAACATGAAAGATCTTCCATAAATAAAGTTTGGTTGATTGATATGCATTGCTAGTTTTCCATCACAACAAGCGATCAACCAGAGCACCTTCAGTTTTCTGTTAACAGTTGTTGTCTTCTTGGCAGTTTCCCTCAAAAGCAAGCCTTCACAGCACATCGGCATCTAAACAGATTAAATCACACAAAGCTGCACTCTACTTACTAATTATTTAACTTGTGATGGCAACTGGCTGCACCAGAGATTTTATTCAGGGCAATGAGAAAAAAGGACCTAAGCATAAATGCATCAAATGTATACCAGATGTTTCACATTTCTACTTGTGAAAGTATATATATATATATATATATATATATATATATATATATATATATATATATATATATATATATATATAAAGAAAACATGCTTCCACTTCACAAGTAGGCCTTCTAGCACATTAAATCCCTTGAATATACAAATACATGTATTTAATAATATGCTAATTTTTGCAAGGCACTGTAGGATGACATCCCTGAAGTATCACACATCTGTAAGTTAGGATAAAAATGATACTATGACAGCACAGCTCATTATTTAAGCTGCACATCAGCAAAATGCTACTCTATTTAAAGCCTTGTTAAAAATTGCTTGTGCACCATTTGGCAAAGCACAATGTTCTGCTGAATAGTGCTACAAGATTTGAACAAAAATTTCTGTTGCAACATGATGTAGAAATATTAAACTGATCCACAATGCACTGCCGTTACTCTGTGTTTAAATCCCACAGAGTCAGCATACCTGTAAGACGTAGTCGAGGACAATGTGTCGGAAGCATTTGCGTGTGGCAGTCAGGATGTTGGTGGCCTCCTCTACTTCATGCTGCTTGTTGCGAGGAGCCTGAGCGTTCTTGATAAGAGCATTCTCCTTTTCCTCACTAACTTTGTCAAACTGTTTCTTGGCTTCTTTAAACTTTCGCAGGTCACTGCAAAGAAGAACAATGGAAAATTTAAGCTTTCCAAACAACTTTATGTTAAAACTGACAAGAAAATCAAAGTATGGGACGCTGAAAGCAAAAGTCTTAAAACAAAACTGTTGAAAATGACTTTTGTGGCAGATGCTTATGCAGATTTCGGAAGCAAAACCAAGAATTCAAGCAGATACATTTATATACAAAACAAAGACACTCTTAAAGTCATATAGAAAAGAGGAAATTATGGTAAACACACAATTAAATGGTAATTTAACTTTAATTCTTACAACAGTCACTGTGCTGTTATAATTCAGCCTCTGCAGACAGTTGCTAAAATTAACGTTTAATTCTATCAGTCATCTCAATAAAACTCTTTATTAGTGTCAATTAAGCAACATATTTTGTTATCCTGATATATCTTTGAAACACATTAGGCTTTTAAAACTATTACTTCTAACCTAATATAAGTAATAACATTCACAAAAAATGTTTATAAAAGAGTTTAGCTGCAATAAAAGCTTAAAACTCATACTTAGATTCTGAATTTTAGGTTACTAAATTATGCCTCTGTAGACTATTAAATCAAGAAATAATGAAATAATCCTATTTTTAGAGAATATGTGGATAATGGCTCATAAAGCAGTAATTTATGGCGTTTCTTATTATCTTCAGTGGTCTTTTATGGGTAAGGTGACTTGTTGAAGTAAGAAATGCTCATCTTTCAGCAAGGTCATACAAAAACTCATTAAGGTCCAAGGTAATTCTGGAAATCTCTGGAGGTCAACTTTTGCTTTACATATTTTCCATTGCGATTATGAAAGCTCTCAGAAAAGGTCCTCATCCTTTTCACTTTGGGCGTAATAATAAATAAGAACAACTTCTGGCTTCCCCTTAGAAGTATTGGAGCTGATAACGTGGGAGTTCAGTCTTGGCGTGCCTGAAGCTAAAACTGTTAATCCTGCTAATGAATTAATCCCGAGCTGTGACTGCTTCCTGTAATTATGCCAATAGTTTGAATTTTCAACCTGAGGTTTAAAACACACAGATAGGATAATGCAATTTGGAAGAAGTAGCCATATTTAGTATTCTAGCAGCAAACAAAAATATATTATAACAGGGGTTTTATTTGGTATTTTGATATCTCACAAACAAAAATCTGAAAAGTATCTCAAGCATTTGTATTCAGTCCCCATTATTCAGAAGCTGATAGTGTATTCAATTAAGATTATGAAGACGACCTACAGATTCAATCCCATCTCAGATACAAACAGACAGTTTGCAAACCACACTGGCCAGAAATTTCTGTCTCCAGAAAATGTTTTAGCTCAAAGGGATAATTAAAAATGAATCTCAGTTTCAGATTTTACCTCATAAAAAAAGTTTTGACAGTTCCCTATATTTTGAGATTAAACACTAGTTTGTCTTGGTCTTCATAAAATCCTAATGCGGCTTTCACATAAAAAAAAAAAACAAAAAAACAGAAGAAACTGCAAGGAGGAATTAATACTTCTGTAAGGCACCATAAAAAAAACATTTTACTATAAACTGAAACTGTGAAAAGACCATTTCTGTTCTTCTTTCTGTTTATTCTTCCCAACATTAAATTTCCTAAATGTTGGCTACTTATGTTCAAATATCTAGAGCATTTTCTTCCTACTTTAGCTCTTTTCTTTCATTGACACTCACTCTTTCACAAACGTTTGCAGCTGAGTCTTGATTGATCTCTGCGCCTGATCGAACAATATCTGTGAAGAAAGAAAAAAAGGGGAGTTTTTCATTTATGCACATTTGTTGACACACTATAAATAAACATTTTAAACACTTAACATGGCACGTATTTATCCAGAACAACCACAGAAACAGCAATAGATTTCCTTTTTCAAACCAGTCAGTATTCACCAGCTCAGTTATGGAGGGATTTTGTTAACATGGCAAGCTGTAATTAGGAAACTAAATTTACACAAACACAGCAACTCTGTAAACTCCCCTCATAAAGAGATAAACACAAGGAATGACGCAATCTGTTTATTCTTGTTGATGAGTCATACTCTCATTAACCTGCACGCTTCCTTAGAAAATGAGATCCCCAGCACAAAGTCAGACCCTACAAGCACTTTAAGTAGAGCCTAAAGACAATATGAGCAGTGTGCCTTGGAGAGGCAATCGCTGACTAACAGATTGAGCTCTGTGTTTGAGCAGATCATGTGCTGAAAGGTCGCTGAGCGGCAAAAACCAATCAGGCAGTCAGCTGATATGGCCACAGTCGCCTCAGATGAGTAACAGTCGCAGGCTCGCAGTACGACTCCTGGAGGCTTTTAGGGGACCAGACTGGAGTCAGTATGGACTTCAAGTTCTGCATTTCATTATTTAAAATCCAAGATTCAGCAGGTTAGTTACTATTTATCTCTTACAACTGGATTAGTGGCAGCAAGCCGCTCTATCCAACATAGAATGAATCTTTTCTGAGCACCTGTAACAAAGAAGTTTGCTCATCATAGTTTTCTTCCTTTGCAATACAGAAAAATCATCCTTGAATTCAAGGAGATTCTCAATCTAAATCTGGATCGTCAAAGAAAAGTGGTAAACTTAACAAGAACCACAGCTGGGAAAATCTAGTTGCCACCAATAAATTAGTTTGGTTAAATTAGGAAAATGGTCTGTAGTTTCAATAAGTTCAAGGTTTTATCATTTATCCATCAATATTAGCTGGAAGATGCTCTGAGAAATTGGCTGAAATCAGAAAGTTTTAAACTTGACTGCACCATATATTAGCTCCACCAGGTCAAATTGGCAACAATTGTCTTCGGTGCAGAAGTTGTTACTGAGTGAAACTCCAAAGTTAGCTATTTTTAGCTTATTTAAGAAGCTATCCAACATATTCTGTTTCACTCAGGCTGCGAAAAAATTGTCAGACAGTGAAATTATCAGCAGATAACAGGTTTGGACACAATAAGCAAAGCTGAATGTCTGCCATGGAAAAAACTGGGTTTGGAAAGATTTCTTCTTATTTACTTTATTATTGTTCTGAAATATTATTGAAAACTTGTGTTACAGCAGATATTCTCTCACACACATGCACAGTGCAGCTTTTGTTCCTAATATAAGTAAATAATGGCCAATAAGAGCAGGAAGGCACGATGAAACAATATTTTGAAATCTTTATTATTCAATTGAATTCAAAAGTTTACTTATCCGAGTGGTAAATTAATTGCGTTTGTAACCGATGCCATCCAAGTATCTTCTAAAGGTTGTTGTGGATAGTGATGCTGTGGATAGGAAAGATTTGAGTTTGTAGTTCTTAAGCTTTTAAGATGCTAATTAGCTGCTCTGAGTTGTAAAACCAATTCTTCGTTGCCACAGTTACACATGACAGCTATGCAAATATAAAAACAAAATTAATGTTATACAGAAATTGTCATTTGTAAAGCATTTGTATTAGAAAAGAAAAAAAAATATCAAAAATTGGCCACATAACTTATCTTCAAATTAACAGAAAAATAGCAATAGACCTACAGAAACAAAATTTAGTTTCTAAGTCGAATAATTCATAGTTTGACTTAAGCAGTGAGATTAACGGCGTAAAGCTGGCTGACACAAAGAAGACTTGAGAAAGAGAACCAACATTGGAACAGTCACTGCATAAGAAGAGCCTCTAGCTCATCTTGTGCCTCTTCTCTGTGGTTAAATTAGCATTAATAAAGTTTAACACTGTGCCTTCTTCTTTAAATGCAACTACAATCCCAATCAGACGCTAACAAGTCAGGATGTGACAAAATCAAAGTCGTCACATAATGAAATTTGTTAAGACAGGTGTCTAAAAAGTTCAAGAACCTGGGAATGGCTGCTACGTATTAGCAAATATCCCACATTTAAATGTGAGACTTATTGCAGCAAAATGACACTAAATCTGTAAGAGCAACAGAAACTCACTTCTAAAATCTTAAATACTTATTCTAAAGTGTTGAATTGTCCTGAAGGATGATAACCGCATCATAAAAATTGACCATGACCATGCTGACTCCACTGACGCATAATTTATTCTAACAGTTAAATTCCTGTGTCCACAACATCCACTCTACCCTAATAGCTTTCAGCTAACCACTTTTTTATGGCAGATAGTGTTGGCTACTTAGACATGTTTTCAGCAGCACTAAGCATGGGGTTGTTCACTCAGACATTAAATCTTAGCATCAGGTTTACTAAAAACTGATCGTAAGACAAAGTATTTTTTCAAAAAACATTGGGGAAGTTTCTGTCCAGTGGTTTGCTGCCGGGTTTTCCAGCAGTGAATAGAAACTGAGAGTTAAACAGCTGTGGTGAACTATCTGCCCATCTGGGTTTGTCATCAGCCAACAGCTGAAAGAAAAAGAACGACTACTGGGAATTCATCCGGTTTTCACAGAACAGCGTACCGTGTGATAGTTGATCATCTCCTGCAGACTCTCGGCAAACTTTGTGAGGCTGGACTGTGAAAGAAACAAAGAAGAAAAGAAAAATGAAAACAGGCAAAACAGAAGACAAAGAAAATCAGGAAAAGTTGGATAAACACAATTGATCATAAATACGAGCAAAAGGAAACCAGTAATCTTTAGATGAAAAAGAAACAGCCTTAAAGCAAATTAGGTCTATATATGAGTGTATGCAGAGTTTCAATTTCACATTTCAGAGTGAAGTTGTGACATTCACAAAAAAATTCACAAGAGAAAACACAACATCTGGTCTCCACAACAAGAAATGGACACAGGCTTTTATGAGCCATGTTATAGCATAATTTATTTCATCTAAAACATTTCATGGAGGAAAAAAATGTGTTAAATAAAAACGAAAAGAGGAACCAGGACAAGAAAAAAAATCTAACAAAAATACCCTTGAAGCTGGGAACTTTCTTTGATCTCGTTCGGGTTGAATTAGTTTGTTTACCTCAATGACTTCATCTTTGGCAGACTGCTGGGCAAGCTCCCGGATCCCGTTGACAAATTGCTTGTTGGCTGCGTTGTAGACTTTTCCAGCATCTATCATCCCAATACACAATTTCACCAGCTGGGGAAACAAAGGGAAAGTTGATGAGGTAGATGTTAACAAAGGTCATTAGAAAACAGAAACAGAAAGCAATGCGCTGGTCAATGTTTCAAGCCAGATTAATTTACATAGGAAAAAAATTTATTATTTCTGAACTGTATTATTCTCTGGATGACAACAGCAAGAAAGGGTGTCTACCTCGGGTAAAGTAGAGGTCACCTTGGGGATGCTTGTTAACAGAGAACGTAATTGTTTTTTTGTTTGTTTTTTTAAGCAGTTGTGAGGCACAGTGGCAAAACCTTAAACTGCTGCTTCGCAAGTAACTCAACAAATTATTGCTAGCTAACCAAAGAGTGAGGTAGTTGATGGCACCAATCTTGCTTAGCTTTTCCTAAATCCCACAGAAAGCTGTTTGGTTCTGAATCGGAGTTTGGTGAATATTCTGTTGAATATTCTACTAGATGTGCTACCTATTGATATTGATCATGGGTCAATTATGATATACACTGCTATTGATTTATTATCCAATCCTACTAGAGCTTAGAGCAAAGAACTTTCGTAAAATAGCTAGCAATAATTACTTTCTAGCTTTAGATATAATCAGTAGCCAAGTTTATTAGCCAAGTTTCAAGATATTTGAATAAACAATTTATTAATATGTTGTCTAGTGTTCGCTTTATGCTTTCTTTTGTGTCACAAATGTTTAGTTTTGGTTTTACATGTATTGCAACATACCTCTTTGTACAATCAGATATGAATCAACACGTAATATAATATCTGGAGTATTGGTAGTTCTAAAATATTCTTTCCTTTACTTAAAAGTTCAATGTTTTTTTGTATTTTATATGAAACTTCCAATTAAGTTTAATCCAAAACAATCCCTAAAAATTACTCCTCCCATTAAATTTTCATCTATGGACATTCTGATAGAATCATAACTTGTGTTTTATTCCAGTTTATCAAAACTATGTTGTATTCAACCACTGATTAAGTTTAGACATCTCACAAGTCATGTGACTCGTGAGACGTCTAAACATCTCAGAACAAAATAAATTTGTATCATCTGCAAACAGGATGAATTGTAATATTTTATCAGATATGACAAAGAAGATAAGTGTGCACTTGTGTTCAAAGAAACTAAATTGCTTCTGGAAAATGCAAGTAAGAAATTGTCTAACTATTCACTCATCCATTTTCTACATTTGCTAAATAGTAATCCAGAGTCACTGGGAGCTTGAGGCTACTCATGCTGTAAAGAGGACTGAGAGCAAAAGGGTAAACCAAGGACAGCCAGTCCATCACGGTACCCACAGCCTTTCCCACTTACACACCGAAGGGTGATTTAAATGTTCCAGTTAACCAAACATGCATGTTTCCGGATGGTGGGAAGAAACCAGAGAGAACATGCAAACTCTACACAGAAAGCCAAAAGCCAAGATTTGAACTAGTGCTGCCCTTCTGGCCATGAAGCTAAAGTGTTAGCAAGTACAGCCAAAGACCAGCAACTTAATTAACTGATAAAAAAGATAAATACAATTTTTACTAAATTACATTCTGTATGCTTCATTTTCTTTAACAGTAAAAAATATGCATGGTTCTGGTAGATTAATGCAATTTACTGTAGGATTAGTTAAAGATTTTAAAGAAAGTCAACAATAGTAAAGTCATATTCAAAGAATACTAATCCACGTCATTAAAAAAATGGCTTTCACTTTGCCACTCTGAAAGCATGTTTACTTTTTATTCAACATGCCTGTGTGTGAACTGGCCGGGCAAACTGCGAGCTCCAAATAAAAAGAGCTGAACTTTGGTCTGTCGAAGCAGGACTCCACCCTAGACATGGGTGACATTACACACTGTCACAGCCACACTCATGCACGCAAACACACCCACTATCTGGCAGATCCTTCCTCTCCACAGCAAGAGGGGAAGTGAGGCTGGGGCTGAGTCACAGAGGTGGGGCTCTGAGACTATAAGAGTGAGGAACAATGCAGCGGGTTCTCCTGGGATCGCGGCCCAGCTCGCAGGTAGTGAATGCAACTAGTGAACTCTGCAGCATGGAGCTGCAGGATGGTGGATGTCGGGGAATTTATGGTTCTCAGATCTGGGTATAAAAAGTATTCACCTGCATGGATCCTTATATCATTTTATTGCTTTTACAAAACAATTATGATCAAAATTTGGCTTTTCTGACCAAGAAAAATACAAATAAAACAAAACAGATTTTTACAAAAAAAAAAAAGACTAGTATTGATATGCAACATAAAATAAGTGAATACATTAAACTCTTCAAGTCTGTACTCATTCTGGCTTCACATTGCACCACATTTCCTTCCTTTCTTGATCGTGGATTCAGCTGACCTTCTATCCATTCCTTAACTTCTACTTCTCAGTCACCTATTATCTGATTTGATTGAACTCTTCTTTTGTCTTCATGGTAGCAGGAATCCTGATTAACGAATGAATAAACACGTGTCTTCAAACTACAATTTCCTGAGACACAGTCACTGAACTCAGTTGATCTCCATTCTCAATGTAAGCTTTTTTAGCAACAATTCCAATGCTAATCGCTAACATGCAACGTTAAAGACAGTTTAAAAGTAATAATTCTCATACATCTTTTTTTTTTTTTTACACGGTGGTGCAACATATATTATTCTACTAGTCCAGAAAAAATTATGAGTCCCCAATGGGAGGAGGACTAAAAATATTGAATGTTATCCTTATGCATTCTTATATGACAGGTATAGTTAAATAGGGCATTTTTGACTGCTCATGTTCTCGGGTTTGATTGGCAAAACTATTAGAATAACTGTGACTTGAACAATCAAATACAAATAAGTCAGGTAAGTTACTGTATATGTACATTGAGATCGTAGAGGTTATTTCGTTATCTTGACATTATCATGCAGAATTTCACAGCTGAATTAGAATCATGCACTTTCACTAATGCAATCTAAATTTTACATATCTTAGTTACATTGTCTAAATGTATTTTTTTTCTGCAACGGCAGTCTGCCTGAGGACATACTGTAGTGGAGGGCTGGGACAAACCTGCACCTTCCCACTCACCGAATGTCAGTTTGCAGCTGCCAGCTCTCACCGCGGAGCAAATGAACAATTGAGCAATGTTTTTCATGGGTGGTACTCACTTTGTCAAGCTTGGATTCCAACTCACACACATCCCCCTCCACTTCCTCTATGGTTGCTCTGTGAGGAGAAAAAAACAACAAAAAAAACAGAGAGGTTAAACTTGAGCACCTCACAAAACTACAGTCGCAGCACATGTATATAGCTCTGGGAAACGTTGACACAAGCATATGTAAACACAGAAACTGGCAGTGGCAGCTAAAGTGAGAGCTGCCATTTTGGGTCAGGCCTCTGAGCTGAAATCAGGACTGGCATCCTGCCCTTTAAAATGTGACAAAGCACAGATTGGGTCTTTGCAGGATCAGCAGACTACAAGCTTCAGAATATCACAGAGGGAAGAAGAGACTTAAATGACTCATCCCAGCTCCATCTTTAATCTCTGCTCTCCTAAATCTTAATGTGCACAGTTCAACACATTACTGCTGCTGGACTTGAATGTAAGAAATTCTTGTAAGCTTGTGATTAATATATGAGAAACTGGAAATCTCTAAATGAGAAATAGAGTATGAGTTGCTTCATCCTCAAGATACCTTATATCATTATTTAAATTCTGATTAGTTAACGTATTCTGCTCTAGTACTACAAATAAGCCACCGAGTAAGACCTCACTAGCAAATAATTTTTAGTTTGTCTAATTTTAAGATTTGCTCTTCCTAGTTTCTTAATTCATAGCACACTGCTACTCTCAGTGATGGATCCAACATGCAACATAAAAATCACATTTGTTGGTCTAAAAACTAATCTTCCACACTCATACATACAACCTGAGAGACATTTAAAAAAAAGTAGGTTTAAGCTCAACAGAGATAGCTATTGAGCTTCTTTTCTCTTTTTTGTTTGTGACCCAAACAAAAAAGGATGAACTTTAGGACTAAAATAGACTCAAAGGCCAGAAACAGGGTCAAAAGCAATAAAGAGCATGCTTCTCACATACAGACATTGAATGTATTCAAAGCTTGACAACATATGTGAATTTTTAACCCTCATCTGTTGTAGCTGGCGAAGTATTTCTTTAATGAATCAATCAGGCCACTCACCAAAAAAAAAAAAATTACAAAAGAAAAGGTCACTGAAATAAAGAGATTTTACATTTGTGAAAGGATATTAAAATTATTTAATACATTAGATTAAGTACTGGTGAACAAAACTCAAACTCATTTAAAATTCACACTCATTCCATAGTCAAAGATCATTACATGAGTTTTTCCCCCTAATCTTGAAATTTGAGCCGGTGTGGTGAAGTTGTGAAAGTGCTGACAGAGGATAAGAAGAAGGAGGGCCCTGCTCAAAATGAAAACTTGGGTCGTTGCCTCACATATTTGGCCTTGGAGAGTGAACAAAAAGCAGAAGAGGACAAGAGCTGCAAGCTTTTCAATGTAACACACAAGCAGGCACGCACAAGCCTCTTTTAATTAAGAAACACTGTTCATTAGGAGGCAGAAAGTACATAAAGAATAAGCAGAAATCCTCAAGGAAACACTGACGGTCCGTAACCTGGAATCCATAACAGACTCTGATATTCCGACTGTAGAGCAACGCCAAGTTGAATAATTGGTTTCAGCAGATGGGAAGAAAGAACAAGGCCCAAAAATAAACATAGATATTTAAAGAGACAGAAACTCAGTTTGGAAGAAGCTTCACATCCAGATTCTTACATAAAAAATAGAACAGTCCATTCTAGCTTTCTTTTTATTTTGATCAAAAAACAATCAACTAAGATTTAATTAATCCCCAACAAAAACCAAGTAGACATAAGTTCCTATAATTATTACAACCAAAAATAATGAACATGTAATCTAAAGAGAACACATTTTACAATTTATTTATTTCTATACTATTTAACTATTTCTATCAAATTCAGCCAGTGGCTACTGAAGAACTTAGCATTTTAGGATAAATGTTGAAGTGTTTGACCATAACATACAGTGTCAAACTTGGGAACTAACTTAGCAAAGAGGAGCATATCTTATCAATCAAGAAGCACATTGACATTTTTGTCCAAAATATCTTTTGTACAAAGGTTAGTTGCACCAGACAACCTGTCTGACAACAAAACATAGATTACGGTTAAGTTGGATTGCTGGGTTATGATTCAGAGAACACCAACTAAATAAGAATTAAAATTATTTTCGAAAACAATAAAAGTCGTGCAACAGTTCTCTTAAAACCACTCGTGAACCTGACTGATTTTATGCAACTTATTCATAAATGAAACCGTCCAAAGCTCAGTGAACTGCAACATCGCAGTAAAGAAGGGCGGGTAAAAAATTGCAGCACAATGCTGTCAGATACTGATAAGGTTACACAGAACCTATTATTTAAAGGTTACTGCTGCTCAAAGGTGGTTGGAAGCGCTCTTCAGTCATGTAGTGGATATTTTATACTGCTACCAAACATCTGGAAATGTCAAACAAATAAAAAGTGATGGGAACAAGATTGGAAAGGGTTACTTCAGATGCTTATTCAGGTTCTCTCAACAGTGATATGTTGTTATTGCAAAATTAGATTACTTCATAAACTGCTTTAATCTCTTCAGAACCAATGTTTCTGATAACTCAGAGACGATATGATAAGAAGCGGGAATGGGTGATGATGCAGGCATTCTGCTTCCATGTCTGGGGAAACAGAAAAGTCAAACCAAGAAAACAGCTGGACGGAAGAGTAAATAATGTAATCCTTTTGAATGAGGATTACCCATTCAAAAGGACAAAACAGCAACAACAACAAAAAAAAAAAAAAACAAGAAACCAAACTACATGTGAGACGTTTTTTTTTTTATTATTCTGAAACATATTTGGGTCAAATGTTGTGCATTAAAGCTTGCACATTTAAATAGGTTAAATGTAGGTTTTATGGAAGATTATGGAAGATTTCCTTTTGGAAATTGATTATCAATGAACCAAAAAATATTTTGGGTAGTTTTTGTATCTTAAGTAATGGGCAGTATAATATATTTGTAAAATTTTATTTAATGGTTATTATCTGATTGTAATCCAGGTAATTTTAAACAATAATCCAGACTGTGGAATCCAATGGCAAATATTTTTCCATTATAATACAACACAATATTAATAATATACAACTATATCACATTACTGTTAGTGTTTGAAGTAACATAATGGTATATCAACATAATTAGTTAGAAATGTAATTTGGCTGGTGAAAGGTTTTCAAGGTTTTTCCTTCTAGTTAAAGACTAAAAGGTATTTTTCCCCATCAGGAAAAGCATCATACCCAGGGACTTCCAGGTTGTATTGATTGCATTCTTTGTGGTGTTACATACTGAAAAAATGTTAAGCTATTTTCACTTCAGTATCAGTGACATGTATAGTGATCAGACTAGAGAAAGTACAGAAATGTAGAAGTTATTTCCCTCTTCTCTGGTCGGAGAGAGGTCACATTTTCTAATATTTTATTCTAGAAACTTTAGAATCTTAATTATTTTTTTAAACATTCCCTGTTAGAGTTTGTTCTGAGTAAAAAGCTTCCTAAAGTACTGGAAAAACATCAGAATAATTCAGCTCCACATTTATTGCTGCGCCGACTAAAACGTTTTGTGACAACTGCAAGAAAATCTATCCAAGATGGTAAACTGAACTGGAAAAAGTAAAGTTCAAAAAGAAGCATGAGCTCATTAACTACATAAAGTAAAACACACTGAGGAACTGAATATTCTGAGGTAGTGTTTGGCTGGGCGGATGAAGTTAAATAAAGAGAAATATGCAGTGTAGAAGAAAGACTGTCGCCATGAAAAGAAGAATTAAAAAAAGTTTGCCTTGTGAACCACATCAGTTAAAAAAGGGCCTCTTCAATATCACTGAGGAAATGTTTGGCCCCAGTTCTCTTTATGATGACTGTGAGTGTATAAAAGGATGCTGACGAATATAACGTGCAGACAGAGAAGTTGACTAGATTAGAAATAGATTTCAGTAGCAAAATTCTATGCAGATGTTCTAATTGATCAATTCCATTCGTTCTATAAGTCAAAACTGAATCACTGAGAATTTCAACAAAAGCTGCAGACTTCAGGCTGATCTTCCAAATACGTCTAAAAAATAAAAGTCTCAAATTTCCATTCTTTCTCAGTGTAACTGAAGTTGAGGTGGTTTTTGGGTAAACATTCACATAAAACTTTTTTCAGCGGGTGACTGCAATGCTCTCACTGCCAACGACCAAGAACAAAAATAAGACAAAGCGCTGGACTCTTACTGGAATAAATTACTTGGCCACAAAAACTTGACTTTATTGCAGATGTGTTTTTTTTTCATCTTAACTAAAGACAGACACCCGATTCTACAACAGTGGTTTAACGACTCGATTTGAAACAGAAAGCACCTCTTCTGAAGCTTTGTGCAGCTGTTGGCAGCCAGCTGCCGACCTGTTTATGCTCTGCGTTCATTTTATTATTTCAAGTACTTCATAATTTTTTGGAGCTCGCAATAATTCATAATTTTGTGTTTCCCTGAGGTAAAGCATGACATGACGCAGAGCGCCATTTTTCTTAGCAACAGAAAACAAGGAGCCTGATTTTTCTTGCCAGCATGCAGAGTAAGTAGAATGTTAAGGGAGGCATAAAAATAAAAACACCTCTAAGCTCACCGATGGAGAAGAGTGCCATCTTGTACTTGACTGATTCCAAAGGGAAATTAAATGTTGTTGTAACTCATATCATCCAAGTCTCTTCAAAGAATTACAAAGGTTTATGTTGCTGTGAGCAGGAAGGATTTCCTCAACCGAAACAATTATGAACTAAAGTTTACAAAAAGAACCAATGAGAACCAAAATATCAGAGCTACTCCAACATCAACGATAGAAATGGTGAAATTAAAGTCTCCAAAACAAAAATTAGTTGATAACTCTAGAGGCAAACTGGTTGCTTAGTTGAAATTTAAGAAACAAAAGCAGCACCTCATGCCTTCGGAGAAAGATGAAGGATTCTGCAGGGTCTGCTGCTTTTTTTTCATGCCACGGTTTAGAGAAAATAATTAAATTGACCTAGCAGTCATGTTTATGGACTGGAGAGGGAAGTCGAAGTACGCGGAGAGAACTCCCATATCCAC